CTGTCTTGGGAATATCTTTTGGATTCATTTCTATTTGATGGAATCCGCTAGCCAAGTCCAATGTGGTAAAATACATGCACTTGCCAAGTTTGTCCAGTATTTCATTTATGTTTGGTATTGGGTATCTATCTGATATTGTTTTATCGTTTAGTTTCCTGTAATCAATAACTAAACGCCACTTTTTTTTCCCACTAGCATCTGCTTTTTTTGGGACTATCCAAACAGGTGCACTCCATGGTGAGTAGCTTTCCCGTATGATACCCTGATTTAACATGTCTGAAATTTGTTTTTTTACTTCTTCTTTGTGGATATGGGGGTATCTATATGATTTTGTGTAAATAGGAATGTCGTCTCTTGTGACAATGTTGTGTTTGATTTTATTGGTGAAAGTAAGGGACTGATTATCTTGAAGAAAAATATCTTCAAATTCTTTACATAGTTTTGTGATAACCTTTTGTTCTTCCATATTCAAATGATCAATTCTAAGATTGTCCAGTAACTGAGGGCTTTGAAATTCAGGAATATGTTCGAAGCTTATATTATTAATTTCCCTATAATATGAATTTTTTATTGGATTTACTTTAATTGGGTTTTCGATTAAAATTATTTTGTCCGAGTTTGACTTATTATTTATTTCAACGAAGCTGTACCAGTTTTCAGCCTTGTACATACCAGGTGAAATGGTTACTTCTGGGTTAATTGATATTGTGGGGATTAGGAAATCGCCACTTTCTAAATCTACAGGAATTTTCATAATTGCTTTAGTTTTTGGTGATATAAGAAATTTACCGGAAGTTAAGTTTGGTTTAAAAGACAAAGGGATGCAGCAATTGTTTGTAATTAATTGCTTTTTCTCGAGGTCTATTTTTGCACCTAAATTAGTAAGTATATCGAGTCCAATGAGACCATCGAAATAGTTATGAAATTTAAAGACAAAGAATTCCAGGATTCCACATTCTCGGAATTCTATGAACATAGGGATGTTAACTTTTGTATTCAATTGGTGTTTGTTTAACACAGTGGTTATGATTATTGGTGCACAGTTTTCTATGTTTAATTTCCCTGTATATTCTGGGTTTATAAAGGATGCTGATGCGCCTGTGTCTATAAGAAAACGGAGTGGACGCCCAAATGGAGATGAAATGTTTATGTAAGGCAGGTTAGTGCCATGTTTGTTTATGTCTAGGTATCCTGTTGGGTTTTGGAGGCATCTAATTGAAAATTTTGTACATCCTCTATCTCGTTGTAATTGTCCAACTCAGGTAAATAATTAGGAATGTTATAGTTTACAGGATCTGAATAGGTATTAAAGTTCCTATAGTTATGGTCAATATGATGTACTTCTCTTGGAAATCTACGTGTTTGTCCACTATTATTCCTTAGATGAGTATAGCCTGAACTAGTGTCCATGGGTTCTGGTGGTGGAAAATTTGTGTTACTGTCTAAGCGTTGTTGTCTAAAATTGCTAAATTGGTTTTGATTGTTTGTGGCTGTAGGGTATTGTGTTTGCATAGGTGTTGGTAAAAAATTCTGTGCTAACTGAGGTCTATTAATTGGTGTTGGTAAATTTAATTGGGGTCTATTAAATGGTTGATTCATTGGTAATTGTGGTCTATTGAAATGCATAGGTGGACTATAAATCGCGTTTTGTTGTCTATAATGATTTGGAGTGAATGGTTTTTTAATGTTAGGGTAAGAATGTTGTGAATTGTACTGTCTATGAGTTTCTTGCCTTTTCAAAATGTTCCTGTTTTCTTGTCTTATATAAAACATGTTTTGTTCGGTAATACAGTATGAAAAAGCTATCGGTAAAGTATCTGGCTTCATAGCCCTAATGGAAGAGCCTAATGGTTCTTTAAGTCCAGATAAAAATGTGTTAAGGCACATTTTATCAAATAAATCTCGTTTAGCTTTTATTATGTTGGCATCTACCTCGTGTATCATCAGATTATTGTTAATTGAAGCTTGGATCTCTACAACTGAACTATAAAACTCCTCAAGTGTCTTATTATTTTGTTTTAGTAGGTGTAAGTCTCGAATCAATGAAGTTTCATTTCGTTTATCAGAGTAATGTAATATGAGATTATTTTTAATGCTCTGCCAGCTCAAGTCTGTGCTATACATATTCAAAATCTCATTTGCTTCTCCTTCAATTTTGTTACGTATAGACCTTAAAATCATCTTGCCAAGAGGGGTGCCATCAATGGGTGTTAATACTGTAAGTATTTCCTCCACATTGCTTATGAAATCGTATAGCAATCTCGGATTTCCATCAAATTTTGGAAGATCCTTGACAGCATCTGGGATTCTTAAGGAATCCAGTATATTTCTTTCTGTCGAGGGTGAACTGTTCGTAGAATTCATTACACCACTTTGATTATTTTGACTGATACTCATATCGGTTTCAGATTCTGGGATAGGAATAAGGGTTCTTGGGATAGTATAAGGACGAAATTTACGCATATGCTTATTTTTTCTCTTTAATTCAATCAATTATTTTCTTTAGAAAGCAAAATTATTTTATAATATCGAAATATATATGTTTATATTTAAATATATTCACTTAAATAATATTTAATAGGTAAATTATTTAAAATATTATCTATTTTTTCTTTTCTTTGAAAAACACGGTTAAATTGTTTTATATTTGTTCACAATATAAGTTTTCACTTTTACTTTTATTAGTCTTTAAACTGAATCTTGAATCTTTAAAATATGTTTCTATTTTATCTTTTAGTAAAATATTTAATAGTATTGCTTGTTTCTAGCACTTTTCCACAATAAATTTGGTAATAATAGAAATTTTCACTTACAATATTAAAATTATAGTTCTTATTGACATTATTGTTGGTAACGTTGACTGGAATCGGTTGTCCTTAAAGTAGTTTTCCTTGGCAGATGTCCGTACAGATGTCCTCTCTTGTTGGTTCTGCTTTTCCTCGTGATGATCCGTCACGGATGCTGGTTCTGTTCTGTTCTTTTCAGACGATTATCCTTCGTCTTCTATGTAATTCCGTGCGCTTTTTTTTTCGTTTGCGATAAACCGTCACAACACTTATTTAATTTTTTTTTTTTTTTTTTTTTGTAGCGCAGGAACCAGAACTACCCGACTGCGCCAGTTAATTCTTGTAGTAATCCGAGTATTAAAAAAAACACAAGTTTATTCGTTGGTTGCTCAAAAATTACTCATCTTTATTGAAAACAATAATTAAAATGAAAGTTACGATTATAAACTTATTTAAAGTGAAAATTGCAATAACTGCATTTTGACAATTTATAAAATTATTAGTAATTCTATAGCTGGTGGCCTGTTTACAATTCTTTGAAATTTAAATATATGCTTATTTAACAATTCTTTTATTGAACAATTCTTTATTTTACAGTTCTTTTTCGGTCTGTTGAACTATTTAAAATTCTTACTAATTTTATATGTAGCAATTCATACGGTTATTGACTTATTAGCAATTCTTAATAATTTTTATTATTTATTTGCTTGATTTAACCTTGGTGGCTTTGTAGGTGCTTGTGTTAATGTTGTTGTTGTTGATGTTGTTTCTGTAACTCGCGCTTATTACATAGTCCCTCGATTATCATCCGACAGGGCGAGCTGATTTCACTCGTATTGTCACAATGCACGCAATTGTGAATTAATGTATGAAAACGTGGCATGTTAAAGGGTTTTCACATTATTTTTTGAGTGCTTTTTACTTAGATTTGAGTGGCTTCTACTTAGATTTGACTTCTACGTAAAAGAACAAAGGAGCGTAGGACAAAAATCGAACTAACTCAACATAAAACTCCTTTGTTTAAAGACCTAAAATGGTAAAGACTAGACAAAATGCATTTTGAGCAAATGGTTTGTGTCTATAAATCCAAAAATTGGGTTTCAAAATTTTACTTCATAGACTTTCCCAGTTAATTGCATATTGCCTAAGCGGTTTTAATCGCTTAACATTGCTAACTATGTTGTTACGATATCATAACAACAGAGGTATTTTCACAGGGTTGCCATATCTTGACTCTGTCTTGTCCCATCTTTACACTTCTATGTCTTTGGTTGTTATGATATCGTAACAACATAGTTAGCAATGTTAAGCGATTAAAACCGCTTAGGCAATATGCAATTAACTGGGAAAGTCTATGGAGTAAAATTTTGAAACCGAATTTTTGGATTTTTCAAATTTTTGTTTATCTTATATTTCTATAAATGGGTTTTTTATATTAACATGGTCCTGCCATGAGCTCTTATCTGGATAGTATAGATACAAACCATTTGCTCAAAATGCATTTTGTCTAGCCTTTACAATTTTAGGTCTTTGCTATGTTGTTACGATATCATAACAACAGAGTTATTTTCAACGGGTTGCCATATTTTACTCTGTCTTGTCCTATCTTTATACTTCTATGTCTTTGATTGTGGTTTTTATATTAACATGTCTCTGCCATGAGCTGTTACTCTTTGTATTGTAGACACAAACCATTTGCTCAAAATGCATTTTGTCTAGTCTTTACCATTTTAGGTCTTTGAACAAAGGAGTTTTAGGTTGACTTAGTTCGATTTTGAACCGATGCTTAAGCCAGCCAGATATGCGCTTTATGTATCCACACCTTGACAAAGGAGTTTATAGTTTAGATTTGGGGGAAATATATAATAGAATGTTACCGATTTATACAAAAAATTTACCAATTCGGCTTAAATCGGATGAAGATATATATGGAAGTTATATTCATATCTAAAACGATTTCCTAAAAAGTTTGGCAAGGGTGCTTCTGGACTGTATCTGGCATCGTACGCCGAATGTCATTATAGAGTGCTAATGACGGCTTCAAAGGATTTAAATATAAAGTCGGAACCTATTTATGGGAACTATATCGAAATTTGAAAATAAAAAGTTTCCCAAATTTAACATATTCACTCATCAGCTAAATTCGATCGTACTTGTCAAAGTCCCCTCTTCCCACTTGGAGGTAAGGGCAAAGCCCAATAAATACGCTGAATATACCTTTATCTCTGGGCATATCAAACAATGATATTACCACTTCTTTATTGGTTATTTTATATGAGTTATATGGGGAAATATAAATAAAATATATATATATATTATAATGCTATCTATTATGTTTGCAGCTGTACTAGTTCCACCTACTTTTCTTTGCCTTACGCTTATTTTCAGATGTATCAATGTTGGAGTGTTTTGCTGAAATCGACGTGGATGGTGGCGGTGGTGGAGCAGGAGCTGCAAAAACACCTGTTTCAGGTAATGTCTCCTCCCATGTACGGTCGGTAGACGGTTTAAACTGTGACATATATTGAGCACGGAAAGCTTCTCGCATGGCAGCGTACCGGTCTGTTGCTGGGCCAGCAGAAGATAGTGATTTGCTTGTGTTCGCATAGCTACCTCTCGTTTCGCTATATGTTGGCGCTGCGCGCTCTCGATACCCCAAGCCTGCATAGTTGCCCGCAGGTTTTTTTCCCTTTCCTTGCTTAAATCTAGAACTTCGAAACCAAGAACTCTTCATTGCAAGGTCCATTAAATCTTGGGGTACCTCTTGGTCTGCACCTTCTAAATTCCGCACCAAATGCCCGGCGAATTCTTTGTCTTTCTCAGTGACTAGCGTGTATGCTGTTCCCTTTTCTCCAGCTCTGCCTGTTCGCCCAATGCGATGCGTGTGGGTATCGATGTCCCGGGCAATGTCGTAATTAATGACGTTCTTAATATGAGGTATGTCTAAGCCTCGTGCTGCCACATCCGTAGCAACCAAAATATCACAATCCTTCCGTTTAAATTGTGTTATTACCTTGTTACGCTCCGCCTGGTCCATATCGCCGTGTAGCAAAAGACAGTTGTATTCCTTAGTTAGCAAGTTACTTGCAACCGTTTCGGCGTCGACTTTCTTTGTCACAAATATTAAAACGCTGCCCTCCGACAAGAATCGCACTAAATTCAAAAGGAGCCAATTCCACTTTTGCAGTGGATTGGGAAAAACAAATACATATTGGGTAATATCTTGATTGGCCTCATTAAGGTCACCTTGCACAATACGGACGGGGTCTGTAAGAACGTCTCGCGCCAGGCGCTCTATGCGCTTTTTGAAAGTGGCGGAGAAAAGTAACGTTTGGCGATCTGGACGAACATGATTACATATAGATCTAACCTGTAATAGGAAAAGAATGCAATTAATTGACTATTATTTCTCTTCGATGTGGACTTATTTATTTTTAACAGAAAATTTTAGAATTTGAAACTAGCCTTGAGAGAGATATACGCAAATAAATTCAGAAGAACACCAAAAATATTACAAATAAATCGTACTGCAACTGTCAAAAGAGTTGTGATGTGTTAAAACTATATGATTTATTACAGGGAATGATTGTGGTTCTCAGCCTATCAACCTTCCGGTCACACGTGCTTCTTCCAATGTCACACATATGTTTTGTCAACTAATGAAGATACCTCATATGTGAATTTAAATATTTCCTACCTGTGGTTCGAACCCCATGTGAAACATTCGATCGGCTTCGTCAAGAACCAAAAAGGTAACTCTGCGTAAGTTAGTGGCTTTCATCTTGACCATATCGATCATACGACCTGGTGTAGCTACCACAATTTCCGCGCCTTGTTCCAAAGCTTTGCTTTGTTCCCACTTGGATCCGCCTCCATAACAACAGACTACATTAACATTGTAAACCTTACCAAACTTTTTAGTTTCGTTGTATATTTGTAAGGACAATTCTCTGGTAGGTGCTAATATCAAACCAATGGGTCCGTCACCAGTCTTTAGCTCACGTTGATCCATTATGTGAACGAGCATAGGCCATATAAAAGCAGCTGTTTTGCCAGACCCAGTTTTGGCTATTCCAATAATATCTCGGCCTCCCAAGGCTGCTGGGATAGATTGTGCTTGTATAGGGGTTGGCTGGGTGTACTCTGCCTTTCGTATGGCCTTCATAAGAGTTTCTTCAAATCCGAAATGAGCAAATGAAGTTACCGGATTTGGCGGTTCGGGACCTGTAACTTTAACTCCAAGTGTTTTTCGTAGATCTCGTACTTGCTCCTCATTTAGATTTGAAATGTCTTCATGCGGTGTGTAAAAATTTTTTTCGAACGGCTCGTAATCTATCTGAGAATGATATATCGGAGGTAAAGGGTCGATATCTTTCTTTTTTGGTGGAGCAATAGGATTGCCATCCTCGTCGTACTCGATCTCCACATCTGAATTATCATCTCTTAGTCCAGCCTGAGGATTTTCTTCCATGTATCGGTAATAACTTTCTTCATTGTCCTCTTCGTCAATGTCGCCACGTACCCCCTTTGCTACAGCGGGAACGCCTGACTGGTTTCCTTCCTTGCAAACTTTTTCTCTTTCGACCTGCTTTTCCAGTCCAGCCATAAATTGGTCCAACGGATCTTCTTCAGAATCACTATCTTGCTTGTTAGATTGCTGTGAACCTGGCGAACCCGGAGCCGGTATATACGGCCGTGAAGGTGTAGTCTGTTCGTCGTCATCGTCGAAGTAGTCATCTTCAGTATTACACCCTCTTCGCTTTCCAATATAGTTTTGGGAGTTTGTAAACTGACTGATAGACTCCAGGGTAGAGTAGCCATGTTTGGAAGTACCAGCCTTGTTAGCTGAACTCGACGAAAACTTCTGGTAACCCCGATTATTTAGCGAAGAAGGTGGTGGAACCGCATTCATGGCAGAGCGATTTGACGATGAGGACGGCTTGTAAGGATATCCGCCACCTCCAATTCCACGGTACCCACTCATGATGCTTCCCAATCCGAATATATCTGTTTAGTTTATTTTCCGCAGTCGGTAATTGACTATGAACGCCTTAAACGCCTTATTGCGAGATATGATGGTCTCTTCATCTGGCGGCGACAACATGAAACAAATCGAATTTCAGAGCCCTATCTAATACATACGCCATGTTCCTTTGCCCTTGTAATAGTAATGCGGGCTACACACCATGGTATAATTATTACAGGAAATAGGTGATTTGACTCTATAGTTATACTAGTGTCAAACTCGATATGACGTTTTGTGCTTCAATTCCATTTCTTGATATACAATAGGTATTTTTGATATAAAATTTCTCCGCAGGGCAATGTGAACATATTTTTTACCTAATAATAGAAAAAATCGCCGTTGTACTTAACAAAACGCCAAAGACGATGGTTCGGAAACTTCTTTGCGGTTAGGGAACAGGGACACCGCGTTAGATAATATATTCGTATATTTCATGTTTCCTAAAATTGTAAAATGTAGATTACTTTATGTATGAATGCTGTTTGGTTTCAACTTGTCTTTTCTACGATTTTCTATCGATTGCTTGAAGTGTTGAGAGATTAGAACCAACAGCTGATATCATTTTTGAATTACATCTCTGACACTTGTACTACGTACAAAAACAAATTTTGTATGTGGTTATTTTTACGATCGTTGCATGGTAGAAGAATATAGGTAGATGCATCAACGTTTGGGAACATTGATATGTCAATAAATTCAAAATGTTTTGTGAAAAATAAGTGGATTTTTAAATGCTTTTTATACGACGCAAATCAGAGGTCGTTCTAACATGAATTTTTCAACAATTTTTACAAATTTTAATCACTTTTCATTCAACATTTTCAATTTCAAAATTGGTTTGACAGTTCATTGTCCCAGCAGCTGTGTCGATGCGACTACCTGTATTCTTCTACTAATAAAAAAAATTAAATTCATATGGTATCATAGCCCTACCTTGATATCATTGCACCATGGGCAGCACTACCATAAGATTTAAATTTGTTTATGTTTCTGGCCTAATATGTCAACTTCATTTCCTTATGTGTGTGTCTTCTTTCAATAATAAAAAATTGTTCAGAAAATATTCAAATTCGGGTGTTTTCAAAATGCTTATTGCAACGAATGCATGGACAAAATCTACAGTTTTTGTCGCGAAATAAACCATAAGAGATGTATAGAACATGATATTGAAAATAAATTTTAACCATTCGTTCAGTTTTCGCGGTTTTAAATTTGGGAACATTAAAATAAAAAATTTTACATATTAATGTTCCCAAGCGTTGCTGCATCTACCTGTATTCTTCTGTTATACCATGGTAGAAGAATATAGGAACATGCATTGCAGAATTACAGAAGGTAAAACATAGCTACCCCCTAAATACATTTTTTTCTCATCAAAATAAAGATACAGTTTGTATATGCGTGTGTATGTATTGAATAAAAAGGAAAATATTTTCAAATTATTTCAATATTAAAGAATTGTATAAATGTATTTTTTACGTTAACGCGTAAAAAATGTATAATTTTGGGATAAAACAGTCTTGTCCTACTATCTTGGATTCGATTTTGTTGAGAAATCCCAATATTCCATTCAAGTTTTATGGTTTTTTCGCAATATAATATTGTTGTGAAAAAAAATGTTGATAAACAAAACCAATTGTTGCATGTTTAAGAAGTCTATTGACATAATAAGACTTGAAGTTCCTTAAACTTCCTTGAAGTTGAGCAACCTTTCTTATTGAGCCATGGGTAGATGCATCAACGCTTGGGAACATTGATATGTCAAAATTGTTAAAATGTTTTGTCAAAAATAAGTAGATTTTTATGCGTTTTCTTATACGACTCATACGAAGTTGGAAGTTGTTATTATATGTATTTTTCAACAAATTTTACAAATATCCATGGTACAATAAGGAGGTAGAACAGCTTCATAAAACTACAGAAATACAGCCCTGAGGCTATAACTGCTTCCTGTCAGACATTTATTTCATTTTTTTCAGTTCATTTTTTGTTGTTGTTTTCATTTTTTTTTTTCAAATTTTTCCTCATTTCCAAAATGAGTTAAATAACGCGAAAAGAATGAAATGTCTGGATTTTCGCTCGAAAATATGATCCAAACTGTTCAATCTTTTAATTTCATTGCTAAACTGGTTAATAGCTTCAATGCGCGAGCCGCAATCTACTTGTCTTCCATTCAATGATTTTGAAAATATTTTGTTTTCATTTTTTCAAAATAATATATACATAGACAAACTTGGCAGAAGTCGGGCACACTTAAAAACAAATTGTTATCAGCTGGTAGTTCTACCTTACCTTTTTATTGTACCATGCAAATATCAACAATTTTTCTTTTTTTTTTTTTTTTTTTTGGAATCGGTAATTGTTTACGCCGTCAAGACGAAGTTGGTACGATACCTTAAGTATGCATGTACCATTGCTTTGTATTCGATTAGTGGTTATCGATAATTATCTTTTTGTTTCTTGTTTTTCATTTCTTTGCTTCCTTGTAGAGTTGTGCTGCGTCGCGTAAAATCCATTTTACAGCTGTATATTGTTTTTGTGAATGAAAGTGCATAATTCATGAAAATTTTCAGTGGCGAAACTTTTGAGTAGGGCAGGTAAGTTTGAAAAAATTGTAAAAATGTTGTAATTTAATCTGTCATTATTAAATTTAGGACAGACAAAGAGTTGGTGATTTTCGGTGTTTGGAGTGTTGCAAGTGTCGCATAAGTTGGAGGTTTCTGCGTTTATGAGAAATAGGTAGGTTTTTCCGTATGTGTGACCGGTGAATAGTCGATTTATGAGTTTGATCTCTCCAGGGGGCATGTTGGAACCTGCATACCAGTGACGAGACGGCGGTTCTGGGAAAAATTGAGAGAAGTATGTGCCTTTAGAGATTGAGATGTTTTTATAATTTTCCTTCCATTCGTTCCATAGATGCTGATAGATCTGGGAGTGAGCATCTTTTACTGAGAGGTCTGATTGAATTATAGAACCGACTTGAGCCGCATGTTTGGCGAAGAAATCTGCACGCTCATTTGCAGGGATGCCAATATGTGAGGGAGTCCAGATAATGGTGAGTTGTGTAATTTTTGAGTTATTTACTTTTCGGAGTATATTATTTGCCAGGTAGTTTTGAGTTGTATTTCGTGTTAGTAATAGACAAGCATTTTTACTGTCCGTTATGATAGTGGCCTTATTAATGTTGTCTTCTATGATAATGTCTATGGCCTTGTTGGTAGCATGTAATTCTCCCATTAGTGAAGACATTTTACTAGGTATTTTAAAAAGGAAGTTTTGGTTATATGAGATGTTGCATACTGCACATCCGGTAGAGGCACTGGAAACCGAGGCATCAGTTGCCCAAATTGTATGACCTGTATTTTTTAACCTTTCAACTTTTTCTTGTAGGATCATTCGATAGAATTCATTTGGTTGGGTATTTTTGGACGAGTTGAACAAATTTATGATGAAAGTGAATTTGTTTCCGGGGTATTCAATTTGATTTACCGCAACTTTGTCGAAGATATGTTTAAATTTGATGTATATAAGGCCCAAACTTGTCTTGTTGGAGGGGTTATTTATAATGTTTTGGTACAATTGTCGATTGTGACATTTGAATTTGATTAATTCTTTCGCTGCGAGATATTGAGATCGTTGTTCCGGTGGTAGCATCAATGCTAATGCATCGATTGCGTGGACAGGTGTTGACGGTGTAAGGCCAAGACTTCTTCTTAGCATCTGATTTTGAAAAGACGTAAGTTTTCTGTTCAAGTAAGTTGGCATATGAGCCATTGAAGAGATGCAGTACTCTGTTTTCGAAAAAACTATGGATTTTGCTAGATTAATAGCAATATTTGGGAGTAGACCTTGTTTGATATTGTTGATCATTTTTAATGCATTTATTGACTTGTTGCAGGACAGGATAACATCATCATAGTGTTCTTTAAGAGATAAACTGTTTTTTATGTGCCTTCCTAAAAACTTAATGCTGTTAACCGATGTAATTTGTGTGCCTTGTAAAGTGATGGTAGGAGTTTTTCTTGGTCCTTTGGCTACATACATAGCGGCGGTTTTGTTGATATTGTAGTTTAGGTTCAAGCGTGATAAAAGATATTGAAATTCAGTGGCTTTTAATTGCAGATTTTGATTGGCAGATTCAAAGTTCTTATGCGCAGATAATAATATGAAATCATCCGCAAATTGAAACAGATGTGTGTTGTCATCAGAAATCCCATGTAGACCAAGGGTATATAAGTTAAAAAGAGTAGGACTTAAACAGCTGCCTTGTGGGAGCCCATTGAAGATTTCGAGAGATTCATTTCCCATAACGATAGTTCTTTTGCTTAAAAAATTAATAATCCAATCAGAGATGTCACTCGGACAGTTGAGTTCGCATAGTATTTTAAGGAGAATTTCGATACTGACACAATCATATGCTTTTTCTACGTCTAACGATAGAATAATCACTTTCTCACCTCTGTTTTTGTAGTAATTTATAGTGTGCAGTAAGTTGTTGATACACATCGAAGTGGACATATGTTTCTGTATGCAAATGTATTTGCTGGCAAAATATTATTTTCGTCGATGAATTGTTGCAGACGTTCTTTCACCATTAAATTTATTATTTTTAAAGGAACTGAAATTAAGGCTATCGGTCTGAAGTTAGTAAACAATTCTAGATCTTTGCCTTTTTTTGGTATCGGGATAATTTTAATTTTTCGCCATTCATCTATGATTTCGCACTTTTTCCATAAACAATTTATTGCTTCTAAAAAGTTTGTTTTTGCCGATTCGGCTAGATTATTTATCATTTCGTATGTTATACCGTCAAGGCCAGCAGCTGAGGGTTTCTTTTTGTTTTTGAGAACCAGTAGAAACTCTTCCATTGTTAGATTGGACCGATTATAAGTAGTTTTGCCGACATAATTAATTGGATTGTTGTCTGGAACTTGATCTCTGAGGTGGCATAGAAATTGTTTGTTGTTATTTGGGGACCATTTGCTTTTGCTGTTTGATTTTGCACCCACGAACAAATTGAAAGAGATGTTTTGAACTGGGCTCCTTGTTTAGATTT